TTATCGTGAAATTCTCTTAAAAGTATTTCTATGAAATCAATAACGAAAAAAAAATATATGAAGAAAATCTCTTGTTTTACTTAAAACATGAAGCATTCAACAGAATTAATTTTGGTTATAAATAAAAAAAAAAGAATGATTGTAATTCGTTTTCAAAAACTCAAAAATCTTTGAAGTTCTTTTAGATATTCAATAAATGAGCAATTGCATCAAGTCAGTCAAGTTAATAATCGTCTTTATCATGTGTGAAGATTAAAAATTTACAAAAGTTTCATTTCAATAAATCACGAATTCAATGTCGAAATCCATCATTATTGCTAGCATAAATAGAACAACAGTGTCTTTATGATCTAAACTCTGAAAATTTTAATATTATTTGCTTAGATTTGGTTAGCAATAAATAAATTCTTATCAAAAGCATCAAGCAAATCACATCGATCTACATATGTATATCGTAAAAGTCAATCCAAAGATGAAGTTTGAGCAAAATGGTATTATAAAATAAACAATGCATTTACTTGAATTGAATACATTTCGATGAGATATTCATGAAATTGAATATCTATATCTGTATTATCTCTAACACTTATTCTACTGACTGAAATAAACTCGATCAATCAATTATATATTCGCAGTTACTGGGAGATATCTTCTTGAATGACAATATGATGATAAAACGAAGAAAGTATTTGTTGATGTCTGTCATCAACAGTATGCTGATAATGATCGTAAACTATAGATTACTGATAAATTCGAACAAGAATACGATTATTCATTTAGTAGTACGTCTGAGACTATTTTACATATTTAGTACAGCTTTGAGAACATAATATGCAGGAATTATTATTAAAATGGACTTTTTAATTCATCATTTCAATCGATTAACTGAGCTATTATACTGTCAATCAGTCAATCAACATTCATATGTTGCCTCTCGAGAGAGAACGATATGTTGAATGAATGATGAATTTGAGACGAAGAAGAAAAGCAAAGAATGTCTTCTATCATTTAATAATTTCCTGTCGACATCTATAATGAATGAGGTATTGATGAAATTTGATCTTAGAATTCAAAACAATCTCAGTTTGACAGTCATTATTTTTCCAACAGAAATCAATTTACTGATTGCATCAACAATATATGTATTCTTAACCAAGATTAATTAAAATTCAGACACATAAATAGAAATATTCTTTTCTATGTAAACTATCTTTCGAATCGAAGAAATAGAGCATATGGAAGATCGATGGTAAGAGATCAGTCTAACGTTGACAAATGACAATGATTAATAGTTGATGCAGCTCATTAAACATATACAAAAGTCACTCGAGAGTCATCAGAACTAAATTGATTGCGAAAGCTGCTTATCAAGGTAGATGAGCTGAACAAAACTGTCGAAATCTACAAAATACGGTTATAGATAGCATGTAATGTTAGTTTTAGAGAACTAAATTTCTTTCACTATCATTTTAGATACATCACCTACGAGACTATTAATCTGATAAGCGTACTATTCCATTGAAAAAGCTCTTTCAATATTGAATCAATATATCTACCTTCGAATGATCCTTTATTCTCACTCGCTAACATTGGCATTGGTAGGACTCATAGAAAGCAAAGTGACCTAGATATTGCATTAAGATACCACAAGAAAAAAAATACTTTGAGAAGTAGAAATTTCAATTCATCACAAACAACCTAATCAGATGTTAGTCGATCAAGACAACTACACTGAAGTTCCCAAAAATCTATGAAAATGTCATGCTATGAGAGTATGATTGATGTCAAACAAAGAACTCTTGCATCTAATTTTCCATCATTCTCAATCAATTCAACTTTGTATATTAAAATCAATCTCCTGTGATTATAATTCAAAGTATCGAATTAAATTTTCATGAAAGTTTTTTAAACAGCCATTTCATAAATAACCTTTTATTTCGATATCGTCATGACATGAAGTTAGCCAGCATTTTTCAATGAGCCGCAAATACATTCAAGTATGTCTTTACCTACGTCTAGTACTTATAAGTCTATAACTCTAACAATTCAACACTTCTAACATCAGCAAGTTCGACATGAACTTTTAAAGAAGTAGATGTCAATTGTTTTGAATTTACTGTAAAAATTCGGTGTTCCTTCAACTTTTACTATGAGAAGNTTTATAATATAAGCATGATTTTTTTTGAGGGATTTTTGAGTGATTGAACTTGTGAAGCCTGTTTTCCTTCATAAAGATAAAAATAAAAAAAAAAGGGCCCTCAGAGGTACTGCATCCTGACATGCTCTTTCATACGAAAAAACAATGAGCCAAATTGGTTGAACACCTATAGAGAATTTTTGGTGATGCGATGAGCTATTTTTCGACCCTTGTTTGGTTCATATCTACCTTATACATCAGGATAGAAGGCTGAAACTTTTATCACGTGCGTCCTATCACAGGCCCAACATATCCTCCAAATATCAGCCTGTTTGGATGTTCCTGGGCTGAGATCAATTTTTGAGGGGGGGGGCCTTAAGCGTACGCATATTGAATCATTTATTCGTGTAAAACATCAATACACAAATGCACATGAAATAAATTTATTCAACAATCAAAATAATTTTCCAACTTTTAACTATCTCTAATGATAAATGTTGTTAAAACTGAGTTTTAGACTTTGTTTCGTCAACATACCTCCGTCATTGACACATACTAAAATATGGCTTATTGCTTTTCGATTTTTTTTTTTGTAAATTTATTCTTCATTCTTTGTCTGTTTTACTTAAATATTTGAGTGTGTTTCAGTTATATAACACCATCTATCAAATTTTTTCCCATAAAGTTCGTTGTTAACTCAAAGGTATAAATATGACTAAATTAAAGAAATATTATTTTTATTTTGATTAAATTTCATAGACTTATTAAACTTTTGAATTAGATTGTTTCGTTTTTCTTCTAGAATCGAATTTTTCATTCATTTATGCTTAATCGTAAAATCGAAGGTACTATTTATTGTTGATAAAAAGTAACAATAAAGATGATCACGAAAATTATGTTTATTTTGAGGCTTATGCTATTGAAAAAAATATTTAATACGTAAATATAATATCTAAGTCAAACAAGTCAATATGAAACGAAAACTTTTGTATTTGATATTAATAAAATCATGACATTAATTCATTTTTAATATTTACAATGATGGCTTACTTGTTTATGTTTTGATTGCTAATAGAAAATGTTAATAGAAACATTAACATGAATGTGGTTTTGTTGAATAATGGATTGAATTATCCAGATAAAAGTTTAATTTACGAACAAACAGCGAAATTGATATTACTGTTAGTCATATGATAACACTGTTTTCATGCTCTAGTTCATTTGATGCATTTAAAAAACCGATGGGATCAATCATTGAAAAAACATGAAGATCATGAATCGAAGGAAAGGAAGAACAATAACAAACTTGATTCATTCAATGGACTCATAGCACCTAGTTTTTTAGCTTAGTGAATATTTGGAAAATAAGTTCATTTCAATTTGTTTTTTTTTTCATAAATACACTACTTAACGTTCTTGTATTTATTCTTTCCCGATTTTTGTTTTTATTGACTGTCAGTCAAGATTTTTATCCAAAAAAAAACAGATCTTGACTGCAAAATCCATGTAGACCGAATCTTGACTGATTAGGTAATAACTGTGGCACCAGTAAGATTCTTATGTTATTGAATTCTTACTCGATTCTTTTTCTTTTAAACTCATTTAGGATCATTGTGAGTTAGGCGTAGTCTCTTTACAGATTAGCATGATTATCTTCTGTTGTTACTGTTTTCTATTTAATACAAGCTTTCAACAAAATACACGAAGAACTAAAAGATAAATACAAAAAAAAAATAATGCATTTCATTTCGTTTCATATCAAGTACAAAAACAAGAGGTGGAGAACACTTACAATAGTATATAAAAAGAACAAAACAAAATACATGTTTACGGTCAGGTTATAAATCTAACACGTTTATTATAAAGAAAAAAAGAGAAACAGATAATCGCAGCAATTTATCTACATTAAAAATATGTACTTTCTATAGTATGTCGTCTTCATCTTCATCATTTAGAACTGATAAATATTCGATAATTGTCGAAGATCTTTGTTTTCATAGAACTGTTCTTGATCAATTGAATGATTTGTGTTCATTAAATTGAACACAATAAATATTGACTGTCGTCGTGTAGAAATAAATGACCACCGTTCAGACGTTCGAATATATACGTATGTGTATAAATAGACAGCGCGTTCTATTTGTCTTGAAGGTCAGATAAAAATCTTTTTATCAGAAAAAAGAACATTATCTGAAATTCAAGGACACTTAGATATGCTGTGATTCTTGACAGGTTCTTATTTTTTGTATCAACTGACAAGACTCTTTTTATCTTGAGCCTCAAGCAAGAATCTTGTTTCTTTCTCTTTAAAAAGAATCTTAAGGTGAACTCCAAGAAATCATAGATGTCTTGTAGTTCTGTTCAGGCTCTTGATTTTTTGATTAATTAGTCGAGATTTTTTTCATTTTTAGCTTCAAATCAAAATCTTTTCTTTTCTATTGAAAAGCATCTTCCTTGAACTTCAAGATTAAAAAGAAGCTTCATTGATCAATAAAGAAGAACAAAAACCTGAAAAAAAACGATGATAAGAAAGTCGACTAGTGATACTTTATACATTTCGCTGTTATTAAATATAGTCTAGTGAAATGTTCTTGTACGAAAATATTTGACAAATAAGTATTAAATTTATATTATCTCAAATGTTCAAAGACAAATCTTTATGCGTGTTGTTAAAAACATAAACGCTGTTACAAACTCGCCTTGTGATTAAATATTAGATATGAATACTCAAGAACCAGCTGAGTTAATGCGCAAAGCTCCATTAGTAACAAGTTCACGACATAGAACTCGTATATTTACCAGGCAGCATCATGTCGCTATTTTCACTTACGATAATATGAATTGCCTGCGTGTATGTGGCCTATCATGATTTCAAGTTATTTGCAAATGCTATATGTTATCAACTTTTCAGGATCAATATGCGAACATATATGGTAATGATTGCTTGTAATAAGTGGGGCATACATACACGATTATGATATGAACAGTAGTTAAATCATTTACATGGACGCCTGGAAAAAAAATAATTACATATTCTGAAAGTACTCAAAGATTTTTATCACTGTGTGTTGATATTTTAATTTACACTTATGGATTTCCAAAATAAATCGAATGCAATAAAAGCACCCTTAATACCAGATTTCTATAGACTTCATTTTATCACTCTCATTAAAACTTGTTTTTTAAATTTTTCATCAGTATAGACTCACCTTTTTTTTTGAAAAAAGTAAGTATATACTATGATAGAGCTTAAAACCCTCTGTCATCGCATATAGTTATGTATTATATTACATTCGCTAATTGAAAAATAATTTGAGTACAGTAATTATACCCTTAATTGACAAGTACCAAAAATTGTTATTTTTTCTTCTTTACTTTCAATGTATCACATCTATGAAAATAAAATTTTAACAAAGCAATTATAGGCTCCTATAGAACATGAAATTCTCTATCCTTCTGTATATTTTTCAGTAATTTTGCATTTATTTGTTGTAACTTTTAAATGCAAAACAATAGATAAATATATAGAATGATAAAGAATTTCAATTTGTATCATAGTATACACTTACTTTTAAAGATTAGATATGTACTTACGAAAACTTTTAAAAACTAATTTTTATGAGAGTGAAAAATGAAGTCCGTAGAAATTCGATGCTGATGGTACTTTCATCATAGTCGATTTATTTTCGAAGTGCATAAGTGTAAAGTAAAACATAAGTGCGCAGAGTGATAGCAAACTTCGAGTAATTTCACTAAAAGTGATTATTTTCTTCTAATTTATTTTAATAAAAAGTATATATTTAAAATGCCGACTACAACTAATTTTTTCCAAGGTTGTTTATATATATACATGGAAGAGAAATTTAAAAAGTCCTAAGAACCATTGAACTGTTTATTAAGCATAAAAGATACATGTACTCTTTTCTTCGTAGAACATGGACTAAAAATTTGAACAGGAATCTAACGTAAACGAAAGGCCGTCTACAAGTTTGAATTGTATACTTGATAAAAGTTTTTGCATTTTTATTACATGCGAATGATTTTTTTACGCTTTTTAGCTAAATTTGATAGTAAGTCTCTCATTTTTTACACAATTGACTAAGTATGATGGAAAATAATACAAAGAATTTTATTTTACGTATTCATGAGAATGAGAAAGCTTTAAAAAAAATGACGCATTATATAATAAAGGAAATAGAAATGTATGTATATATATATAATTTAGATAATACTTAAAAGTAGTGCTTATAGTTAATTGAAATATCAAAATAGAATTATTAATTTATCAAGGTTATCTTGTATTTAATCAAGTTGTTTGAATAATATTTCCCTTGATATCGATTTAAGATCAACAAGTACAACCGTTACAGTTTCTCTAATCATTTATTTTGTTGCTATTTTACCAGCTTTTAATACAGTAATTAAAATAAAAAATAGTTTAGCTTTATTCTTTATTCTTATGTCACCTTGATTATTAGCACTGTTTGTCTCCGAAGGTATCTGCTGTGCAATGAATGTATTGTAAACGTGAATTTCTTATACATGTGTCATTTATTCGACGGAAATAGAAAGCAAACAAATAACTTTGACATCACGTATAAAAAAATATGTAATTATTCATATTGATTTCTTTCATTGAATCAGATATTGAACTGAACCGACTGATAGTAATAATTTTTTCCGATGAAAACTAACAAGATTCATCATCGTTATAGAATTGGCAAATTCATTTCTCTCTTTGTCTTCATATAATGTAGGCGTAACGTGTTAAAAATCAGTGAATTTTTGAAAAATACCTTTTTTTCTTTTGTTCTCATTAAATGAGTAGGCGAACGAATACGTTGTCATATACAATTCTAATTAATTTATTTGATATGCTCTTCTTATTTTAATATTTAACAGAATATTTTTATTATTAATATAAATTAATGTGGAGGAGGGTAAAACGGACGAGAAAGCTTTTTTTCTAGTTATATTTTAATAAAGATATGTATCGAGTTTGTTTTTAAGCTCATTTTCTAATATTTGTGTTCACATTTCAAGATAAGAGTAAAAACGTCAAATAGATGACCATGCTAGTATTTTTTGACGCGTGTTTTTTCCTTTTTTCTTAATTTCACAATGATCGACAGTAACAGAAATAACTGTATTTAGCAAGATTCGCTTTAAACAAATTTATATAGACTTTAACAGAAAATATGACATGAAAAGAAGAGTCATAGTAAATCTTATATATCTCATTCTTTTATTAGAAAAGAGTAAAGAAAAACGACGACGCTTTTTCTTTAATATATATTTTTAGATTCATTGATAATTTCATTTACAATTACAAAATCTATTACTAATGACTCAGGTAGTAAAATCATAATGTTAATTTATATAAAACTATTTTCTTCATTTTAGTTGATCTCTTATTCTACTTCAAATTATCATTTGTTTACTCTTTTTATTATTCTTATTTTTGTCAATAACAATCATAGTTTAGCCTATGGTATCAGTAGTGAATCTGATTATGATCATCATGATTCAATCTATAATGATTTATCATATGATAATATTGGAAATAGTGAATCACTCATTCTAACCAATCCTAACAGTTTATATGTACCTGATAGCAATGAAATAATATCAAGCAATCCTTGGTCTGAATTATTCCATCGTCATTATACTCGATCCATTTTTACTCCAACATATTATCCATTAGCACAACCTAATTTTGCTGTACAACGCGATAGAATTCATTTTATTCCATATCCAACTGAAAAACGTATAATTCCAATTGAACTTCAGAAAGCCCTTTTTGCTCATGGAATTGTAGGCCGTCGACGTTAGATAGCGGTTTTTTTAATGAAAGGAAAATCGCAAATGTTTCGTTTCCACTTTTGATCTATTACGATTAAATAAAGGAATATTATAAACGAATAAAATAAACAATACATCCCAATTTGTTCAAAGAGTTTTTTCATTGTCATTGGTTAGCATACTGACAGCAAGTTGTTAAGTAAACAATTATTCAAAACGAGAATGTGTATTTTGAGACCTAATTAAGATATTGTTAACATTCAATCATACATATTTTGTGCAATATTTTATGAAGTTTAGTATTCTAAAAATATTGAATCCGTATCTATTTTGTATTTGCCGTAATTGTCGAGAAACTCTCCAATTTTGTTTTTAGATTGAAATCTTATGAAGAATGAAATATAAAAACCAGCACTATGCCGGACTTTCACATTTATATATTAGAAAATATTTTTATGAATAGTTTATGAAAAGGATGAATGTGACTTATGCAGAAAATACAAAGAGAATTTAGACTAAAGGGAAAAATGCAATACAAATCTTGTAGGATTATATATGATGCTATATGTAATATAATTAACACTAAATTCAATAATTAATGAAACATCATGCAGACAGTATTAGAATACAAATAGGATTCAAAACATTTTGTCGACGTTTAGTGCGTAGAGATATAATCTGGATCTCGTGTTGAGAATACACGACACAGAAAAAAAAATGGACGGAATACATTGCATTGCCGGCCTTGCATATTATGAGAAATTACAAGTATCAGAGAAAAACACATAGGATAGCACAAAGAATTAAGAACATGTAAATAATTTAGTAGCCAGTAGAATCAAGATTTCTATTCGAATTGAACCTGATATATACTCAATTGTAAAACTCCATATTTCGAAGCATCGATTGTGACTAGGAAAAATTCTTTTAGTTATATCCATAATTTCGACAAATACCATGATAATCTTATGATGATTGCTTATACTAAATGAAATTTATAGAAACTTCTTTTGCTTTAAATAAATATGACGTTAATGAATATACATGATCTGTAGATACGAGTATACAAATTTATTTTATCATACAGTAGCTATCGTTGTTGTCATGCATTTCAGATTTTTCTGCAATAGTGAATTTAACAGAGTAGTCCATAAGTACTTTTTTTTGTTTCATTAGGAGACAATGTATGAATATGATGAGATAACTGACGGGGGGAGAAAGTCATAATGAACCTGATGATGAAGATGAAAACGAACAGCTTGATATAGCAAATCACTTTACATTGGAAGACAGAAAATATTATTGAATGGATTGATTAACATTGAATACTAGATTCACAACGATATAAAATAGATTCCGAAAAAACACATCCATGAATTATTTAAAAAAGGAATGAAAATAATCCGTATAACTCAATGTGCACCTAAAGGGCGTTCCATAAGTAACAGTCCAATTTTAATTTTTTTTTGTATCTTTACTATACTCAAAAGTGGAGAGCGATTGAAAAAATATATTTGAAGAGTAACATATAAGCTATTAATCAACAGATTTTGCATGCAATTTGCACCAACCGTAAGAAAGTACGGCATAAGTAAAAATATAGAAAAACTTTTATCAAAGTTAACTTATACTTAATTTCTGTAACTTAGTACCGATTCAGTATTATATGAGTATCTCTGTCAATTTTTGATGTTTTTACTTGAGTTCTTTCTAAAACATAATTTGTGCAATTCTCTACAAAATCCAAGCAAAATAGCTTCAAAAAAAAGGAGAATTGAAAAACCACATCTGATCAGCAGTACTACACTCCAAAAAGATCCACTTTCAAAGACACTTTTTTTTGCAAAACAAATTATTTCATGTTTCCTGATCAAGCAGGTTTCAGGTCCTTTTAGGATATTCTTTTAAAAGTATTTTCTTGAATTTTCGTAGAGAATTTCACAGGCTATATTTAGAACAAAACTCCATTCGAAACATCAAAAACTGACAGAGATACTCACAAAATACAGAATGGGTACTTATTTACAGAAAATAAGTAAAAGTTAACGTTGATAAAACTTTTTCAAAAGGACAAGGGCGGATAAGGCCATTTTGCGGCCCCCTTCAGATTCGATCCATTTATATCTAGTTCTAACCATGAATGGTCTCTGATCATATTTTACAAGTTTATTTTCCAAAAAGTCACTCTCGAGATTTTTGTACCTGGGGTACCCCCAGAGTTCTCAAAGAAATTTTTTTTCTCAAAATTGATTCAAAAGTACATGCAACTATAGAACAGATGATGTTGATTCCAAATATAACAAAAAGAGTTCTTAGAACTCGTTTCCTTTATAAATAGCAAGGACCACATTATTGACCTCATAATTACTTTTTGGCCCTCCTCAAGAAAAATGAAAGGTTAAATGCTAACTGAAAAGATGTTATATTATCCAAAATTACGTACTCTATTTGAATTTGAATCATTTGAAGGAAAAAAAACAAAGATTGAAAAAATAAATGCCGATTTCAGGGTCAAAAATTACCTTTTTTTAATGATTATATTCATATTCGTTCAAGTTCATTTGGAAGGGAGGCTTGCCGCAGAGCCAAATTATCCCTACTAAGGTAACTTTTTAAGCTCTATATAATGGTGATATAAAAGAAATAAAAAAAGGTGTGCAACAGGGTCAGAAATTCAAAATACTGCTAAAATTTCACTATTTTAAGCAATAATCGTTACATTTATCAGTGAAGGGAGGCTTGCCGCTGAGTTAAATTTTCTCTGTTAGGGTAACTTTTTAAGAGAGGGTCCATGAATCCACCACCCAAAATAATATGAGCCGGTTGCCGAAAAAATTTAAATTTTGAAATGAGTTTGCTAGTTTGAAAGAGCATAAAAAGTTACTCTGAAAAACAAATTTTTACAATTTTTGGGCAAAGCCTTCGAATATTTCGGTGACCTATAAATTTTGACGCAAAGTATCGATCTATCAAAAGCTATAGTTTTTCGATCATTATGTTTATGAAATTTTTGATCACAAAAAGTTGATCGAAACCATTATCAAATTGTACCAATCGATAGAGCGAAAGCTGCTCTACAAAACCTTATATCTCCTAAATGTTATTATTTGCCTTCTAAAACGAAAACATTCAATATAATAGATGGAATCGACCATTTTTTGTTCTATTTTACATGCTGAGTTTTACCATTCTTGCTCCTGTTATGCAGTTACTTTTCAAGAACCTACGATAAACTTTACACAGTTTTGTAGAGCGTCAAAAGACGCATCTTTTGATAAAAATATATTGATTCTGAAATACTCGCAACATCCCGAAAAGTCCATGACAATGCTGCCTAGTATAGAGGATCGAAAATATTTTTTTGTCGTCGTTCTATTAGAAATCCATATAGCTCGATAGAGCTTAGTGTGCTGATTACAGATATCGGATTTTTTCTCAAAATTAGTCGGATAATAAGGAGCATCTGAAGCACTTTCTGAAAGCCCTAAAAACGGTTTTTGACGTGGAGATCCATGGAAAACCGATTCATATCCGTTCAAAATAGGCTCATTCAATGCAGAATTGTGTTTTCCTTTAGAATCTGTAAGAACATTTCAATATTGCAAACTATTTCTGTCGATAAATGCTGAATACCATCCCAATTGGATCATATTGTTACAAAAAATGATTTTTTTTCTTATTTTCGAGTTATTGTTTATACGGGTGCACTATCGTGATTTTTCTATTGAATACATAATTTAATGTGCTCTTTCTGATGACACTATTTTCAACTTGATATTCGATGTATAATAAAGCACTTTTTCTTAACTGCTATTCTTCATAACCAATTGTGTCCTTTTTGACTGATATTCGACCATTTTTGCACAGAGTAATCTCCGATTGACTTCAGACAAATGTGATATTTCGAATCAGCATAAAAAACTGAGCCGATTTATGTATGTTTTATACCATTTTTGCGACTTTTTTTTTCCGTCAAATTTTGATCCCTGCTCCCTCTCCAGGATTGTCGAAAAATAAATTTCATCAGGACCAAATTGAGGCGGTATTCAGCATTTATCGACAGAAATAGTTTTCAATATTGAAATTTTCTTACAGATTCTAAAAGAAAACAAAATTCTGCATTGAATGAGCCTATTTTGAACGGATATGAATCGGTTTTCCATGGATCTCTGCGTCAAAAACTGGTTTAGGGCTTTCAGAAAGCGCTTCAGATGTTCCTTATTATCCGACTAATTTTGAGAAAAAATCCGATATCTGTAATCAGCACACTAAGCTCTATCGAGCTATACGGATTTCTAATAGAACGACAACAAAAAAATATTTTCGATCCTCTATACTAGGCAGCATTGTCATGGACTTTTCGGGATGTTGCGAGTATTTCAGAATCAATATGTTTTTATCAAAAGATGCGTCTTTTGACGCTCTATAAATCCGAGCCAATTTCTGAAAAGCGAACCTGAACCAAACCAAAATCGATCCAGAAAAAGTCGCTTCAGTTCGGTCTTTGGCTGCTAGCTACCTGTCGATAAGACGCTTACCTTTTTTTAGCGAAAGAACAGATGTGGAAGAAATGCTTAAATTGTGTGTTTTTGTGGATGGAACGTACTGTATTGTTTTCATTACTGTAAACAGCAAGTTGTTATTAAACAGTCAAAAAAGTATAAATTACAAGTGATTTCATTATGTGAAACATATTTATAAGTCAGAAACAACAGTAATAGGTGATTTTACAATGATATATTCCGGGCTTCGAAAAGTTAATAAAATAAGATCTGCACATGGGTATCAATTTGTTGAGATAAAACCTCAACGAATATTTAGAAATTATCAGGTTCATAGTTAGGGTGCTTAATGAGAGAATTATTAAGATTTAAATGTATTGTGCACAAATAGATACTACTTATATTACTGTTTATGTTGCAGTTAATTCGTATAACAAATCTGTGATCGATAAATATGACCAATTTTATTTACAATTACAAGCGACCATTGATAAGGTGCCAAAAAGTGATCTAATTGTTTTAATGAGA